TCAGCAGGTATGTGTCTACTAGATCCAATGGAATTGCACCTACTTAAGTGAATACTAAGTTTGGCCAAAATATATTTTCATTATGAAAAGTGATAAGTCTTTCTTACAGACTCGTAGAATCTTTGGGTTGTAAGGGACTTTTAAGGGCCACATACTCCAACCCCCCTGCAGTGAGCAGGGATATCTCCAACTACATCAGGCTGCTCAGAGCCCCGTCCAACCTGACCTTGAAGGTTTCCAGGGATGGGGCATCTACCACCTCTGGGCAACCTGTGCCAGTGTGTGAAAAATTTCTTCCTTGTATCTAGTTGAAATCTGCTGTCTTTTAGTTTAAAACCATCACCCCTTGTCCTATTGCTACAGGCCCTGCTAAAAAGTCTCTCCCCATCTTTCTTACAAGCCCCCTTAAGTACTGGCAGGCTGCAACAAGGTTCCCCCAGAGGCTTCTCCAGGCTGAACAACCCCAACTCTCTGACCTTCCTTTTCTAGCTGACATACCTGTAGAAGACCTTCTTAGTATTCTTTGCATCCCTTGCCAAGTTCAGCTCCAGCTGCACCTTGGTCCTCCTGACCCCATCCCTGCACAACTGGGCGGCGTCCCTGTACTCATCTCAGGATCCCTGTCCCTGCTGCCACTGCCTGTGTGTTTCCTTCCCGCCCTTCAGTTTGCCCAGCAGGTCTCCCCTCAGCCATTACTCTTGTTTGGTAATACAGTTCTATATTAATATGTTGAGTACTTGTTCTCCTGTTGGAATTGATTCCTTTTTATCTGTCAACGAGGTTTCAGAATTATGTGGTCATCACATTAATTGTTCAGACTGATTTTGGAAGGGCATATTTTCCTTTACGGTGCTGCACACATTAGACATACTCAACTGGGAGGACAGACTCAAACTTTGAACTGATCTGTTTTCCATTACCCAAGTTAAGAGAATTCATTGGCAATTTACTCCTCCCTGCAATTATTGTGGGTTCTTGTGTAAAGGACACACAGCTGTATCCCTTCAAGCATCAAACGTAGTGAGAGCTTATTTACGCACAAGTGAGTGTTAGCGCATGTTCTGGAAATGTATTAACTTGCTATTCTATGGCAGTTACCTGTGCAAAAAAACTGAATGAAGTAGAACGTAACATTCTAAGGTGCGTACACAAAGATAGCCACAGGAATGCTAGATTTGTAAAATAACTCCTTTTTATTAATTTTTTGAAAGTTTGCTGTCAATGTTTGTGTTTCATTGCAGAACAATAATCTTTGGCATAAAAAGCAACTCAGGTCCCCCAAAATGGGGACATCTTATAAACATTTTCAGATAAGCTCTCCTAACCTTCCTCCTGCTAGTCTCACGTCAGTCGTCTTGCATGTCGGTTTAATAAAATGTATTTCAGCAAACGAAGCAATTGACAAAAAGTTTGTCTGCTAAAGCCTATCACAAAGGAAAGCAAGACATGTTTGCACAGTGGCAAGCAGCCAGGCAGAGTATCTTAATTTACCATCTGCCAGATGAAACGCAATAGCTGAATTGGTGAGTACTCCAGCCTAGCTCCCAGGCTAGGAAAACAGGTTAGTTTGAGTCATTCTCCAGAGGCGTATGGATTTGGGATAGAGGTGGGCTTAGGTGTATGTGGGAAATTTCAATAAAACTATTGCTTAGGCCTGGTTCAATTTAATAGTGATTAAGTGTTGCTGGCAGACAAGGGCTTTGGGCAACTGTCCACTATAAGGAACTGTGTCAAACCAGTCTCAAAAGGTTTACACTATCTGGCCTTTGAAATGATAGAAGCCGCTTATTTCTCATTTGCTTTTCTGCTGTTGCTGTTTGGAGAGATGAACCAGGGCAAAGTGAAATGTTAAGGTTTATGCTGCTATGTTTTTACATCTCCAGATTCGCTAGCTAAGTGTCATTTGCAGTCTGGGGTAAGACTCACTTCTTCCAAAAGTTTTTGATGGAGATTCACTGTGTGTAACATTTCCCCTGGCTTGCTCAGCTTACCGGCCGGGTGAGAATCATCACCTCGAGCTGCAACGCAAAATAACGAATGCAACAAATTCAGCATAAAAATTCCCTAATAAAATTTTCTACACCAGCAGTTGCAGTGCGCAGAAAATGCTTTAACCGTGCAGGTCAAAGCTGTCGCTGTAAATCTCCGGTTGCGCCAGGAGATGGCGGCGTTGATGGCGCCTTCGCGCGGGCTTTCCCTGCCGCAGGGGCTGCCGCGCCTGCGCTGTGGCACAAGATGCAGCCGGTTGCGGGGTACCGAAATACTCGGGGAACGGATGACGAGACATACGAGATGGAAATACGTTCTAATTTGAGTTTTACAGGAGTGTGCATGATATCTGTCCATAAATGTAAAACAAGACCTTTGTAGAACAAGCTATGAGATGCTCGTCTAGCTGCTCAGGGAGACGTCGGTATGGCTGCCTGCCTTTGGGGACCCCGGTAGTATTAAAGGTGTTGGTAGCATGTGTGGGGACCAGACGTTTTAAGAGTTCAGAATTAGGTGAGGGTGGAGCTGAGTGAGCTAGCGTGAGCCGGACTATTGGCTACTAGTGTTCTAATTAGCGTCCTTTTCTAAGACAAACCTTAATAACTTCACCTGGTTTTCATACGGCGATCGTAGGAGACCGTAGGTTTAAAACTGGTAAGCAACTCCAGGTTTTTTTCTCTAAACTGGGCTTCTTGAAGGAAGAAAGAAAACAACCAATTAAAATGCTTCACTAAAAACCAAACAGGTAAGCTCAGTGATGAGCTACTTAAAACCAACGGCACTTTTTCCCCAAAATTTGAAATGCAGTGTCTTTTCTATTTTCATTCT